ACAACTCCTCAGCCTCAGCGTTTCACTTACCTGAGGAACAGCAACACCAGCTGCCCGTGAAGGCAGAACAGCTGGGCAGGCCTTAGTCTCCCCTCTCAATGAACAGAAAAGAGCTCATGTCTGTATCTATAAGGACCCAAGAGCACCCATCCTTCAGCGTGACCCTGGCAGAGCTTTCGCAACTGCCACGAGCCTGAACAACCACAGCTCAGTACCAGCTTCAGTCAGAAGTTTCTTTTCTGCTCTGAAAAGGTACAACAGAGACAACCTTGCACTGATTAGGGCTGCACAAGCAATCTCCCCCACTCCTGAAGCATTCCAGCTCCCACCACACCAACCCACCCTCACTGCGGTGTTAAGTTTTATTACAGCATGGAACGGCCTGAATCAACAGCAAAGTGGCTTTTATTTCCTAGTTAAAGACACAAGTAAGCTTGTGTGAAAACATGCTCTGAACTGAAGGGCTCATGGCTAGTGGTAACAGAATACTTGGGATGGTTTTTAGTAAGATAAAGGCAGGTGCTCCTTACCCCTGGCTTTAAAAAGTGAGATTTGACAATTAAACTTCTTCCAGAAACTCCATCCAAGCTACAGCTTTTCCATCAGACATCACCAGTAAAAATAAGTCCCCTTGTTTCCTCTTGAAATTGATGCCTACAGGCCACAAAGGTTACTGGGAAAAGGCAGCCAAAAAGCAGAGACATTCCTTTGTCATCTCCAAAGCCCCAAGAAAGCAGCACTAAGAAGCCCTTGCAAACCCGCAGCTGAATGACTCTTCTTCAAAATAAAATGCCCAAAATGCTGAAAACCTTCACAAGAGAATGGTAACATGCTTCTAGTAACAATGCTGAGCACCTCCTTTCATCCTCAGCTGAAAAACGGTGGTAGCAAGTGCTCATCCACAACATGGATGCCTTGTACTTTTGTACAGGTTCAATTTTGGACAACCAGACCAAATACTTGTTTTTAAAATCCATTTGCAAAGCAGTTTCCATTCAAGAGGACATCGGAGTTTTGGATGGACAACTACCAAGGTCACACAGAGCTCAGTGAATCAAGTGAAAAACACACCATGCCATTTTTACAGCCTCATGCCACTGGCAACATCACTCCCAATGCTGTTTTCCAGCAAGCACATCTGGAAGCAGCAAGCGTGCTGTCACACGTGGATGATGGAACAACAGGATCATCACTTTTTCAAAGAGAATTTGGAAGGGTACAAGATAAACATTCATTTTGAAGGCCAAACAAATAATTTAACTGATCTTTGCAACTATGCCACTCTTCCATTCACATCTTTTATCCACTAAAATACATCAGGAAAAGAGAAACAGGCAAACAGACAGACTAAGAAGATGCCAAGTCCAGCACAGCACCAAATACTGTGCCAGACAGTGCAGCTCCAGCTATGGCACAGACCAAGCCAGCGGCCTTTGCACATCCACTTGTTACTTTGGCAAACACAAGAAACAACCATCAAAGACCCAGAATTCAAACTCCTTTTTGAATTTTGAAACAGAATCACACCTCTGACACCAAGAACACACAGGAAACACCTGAAGTGAGCATGCAACTACATCAAAGCTCACTTCAGTTCCATAGCCTCATTTCATCTGAAAGCAGATCTGGCTAAAACAGAGCCATGCAAGGGCAGGAGCTCCCTACAGCTTCCCTATAGCCAAGCAAAGATTCCAGAGCTGAGGAAATGTCCTCCCCTTCAGTTACCAGGCTCTAATCTCTTGATAATACGAGATCATGCTGGGTTTCTCATTACAAATGGCAACCTCAGGGATTAAACAGCTGCCAAAGTAATGACTGGGGAAGCTGCTCGGATGTCTCAACTAGCTGCTGCTGCTTCCTTGCTTGACTGACATCACAGAACATTTTCACTGCCGAGGAAACAGGAAAAGCCTTCCCTCGAGGTGGGGTTTGTGGCTGGGATTTGGGAGGCGTTCCCAAGGCCAGCTCTCAGCACTGGTGACTCCTCAACACTGGGAGCTGAAGCATGGCATGATGAACAATGCCAACTGGGCAGACTGGGAGGCAAGTTTGGAAAGCTGCAGACACAACACCAATTCAGGAGCTTGACAGACAATTTAGGCTAGTTCATAAAGTAACAGGCAGTTCAAAAAGGCAGTGTTTAAACCAAACATAAATAAAAGTTCCAATAATAACACTATACTTACTTGCCTAATGGGAGATTTTCCAGTATGCAGCCTCATTCTGAGACTGGGAAGTTTAAGTACCACGAATTAAGGGAAACAGCTCTGGCAACACTCCGGGGAGGCACCCCCAACTAATGGGGCCAAGAATTGCCCATTTTTAAGAAACTTGTTTGCAGAGCACTTCCTCTCCTTGACAGGCCTACTTCAGGTACTTATTTAAGTCCCAAAGCGTTCAAATTATTCTTTCACATCAACCACTGTCATAAAAAGAATCTTCTAGGCACTTGTTTCATGAGACCAGTCCATACACTCGAGTGTGGCAGTAGACTGTGCGAACTGTGCTCCTTTCGCTCATTTTCCTGCATGTTGGGGGTGTCCTCACTAGAGCGTGTTTTAACTACCAAGTGCTAAAAGCAATTTTTGCTCGCATTGACTGAACTTCATGCAGCAGTTTAAACAAATACTGTGTGTGTGTGTGCTGACAGTCAGTGTACTTTTATATCCTTAAGGGAAAAAAAAAAAAACCCAAACATCATAAAAGGATGGACCATAATGCCAGACACATCGCCGCGAAAACAGACTTGCTTCGAGAGCGCAGCTCTTGCCTAGGTTAAAGGAGTCAAAAGCCAACCAGGCAAGCCCCGAGCAGGTCAGAAACCCCGGGGTGGAGAAAGGGCGCATCTCACCAGCTCCTTCTACCAAGAAGGGCGAGAGGCGGCAAAGGCACCGCCGCGCCCCCCTCCCCGGGCCTCCCCGTAACAAGGCCCGCCGCGTCCATGCGCTCACCTGTTGATGAAGCCGTAACCGTTCCTCACGTTGAACCATTTCACTGTTCCCAAAACCTTCGTTGCTGCGGGAAGGGGCAGAGTGAAGAGGGGAAGGAGGGGAGGGAGCGGCGCGTCAGGGGCACGTGGCGGGGCGCGCGCACAAAGGCCCCGCGTGGCGGACATCTTGCGCCGCCCCGCCCCCACCCGGCACGCGGGGCCGGCGGCGCGCGGGGAGGCGAGGGAGAGAGGGGCGACCAACGGCCCCGCGCGCGCGGGGGAGCGAGCGGGGACACGAGACGGGGGCGGGGAGGGGGCGCGCGCCGCCCCTCGGGGGGGAGGGAGCGCGCGCCACCCTCAGCCATGGCGGGGGAGGGGCAGGGGATCGGGGCTTCCCACCCCACTCCGGGACCCCAGGCTGCCCTCACCGATGACCTTCTTGTCCCCGCCAGCGGGAGGCGCCGCCGAGGCCAGGCCGCTGCCCCCGTTCCCGGTCCCACCGTTTGGCTTGGAGTCGGCGGGGGCGGCGGGGGCCGCCGCGGGGACGGGGGCGGCGGGCGGCTGGGTCTCGGCCTCGCTGCTCATGGCGGCGGCTGTTCGGTGCGGACGGTGGTGGTGACTGCTGTTTGCGCCGCCTCCCGCGGTGTGATGGTGACTGAGGCCGGCCGTGGGGGGGCTGCTCCCTGCTCCGGGCTCGCTGAGCTCCGCTCTCCGCTCCCGATACCGATCGAACTGGCCACAATGGCGGCGCGCACCGGCTAGCCACCCCGCGCGCCCCGCCCGCACGCGCCGCAATTCGCCACCCGGGCCGCCCGTTAAACGGAGAGCGACCCCATTGGCCTTTCCTCAACCCGCCCCCGCCCTCCACCGAAAACCTATTGGCGGTAACACCTGCCTTTCCTCAAGAGCGAGCGCCCATTGGTTGCTTCGCCCGCGGCTGCCAAGCTAGCTTTTCTCACCGGCCGACCCGGGGTCCCCGCCCCCGCCCCTGATTGGCCGTTCCGGTAGCCGCTCCCGCCCTCAACGGGCACGAACGGGGAAGTGCGCGCGCCCATGTGGCGGCGGCTCCTGTCCTGTGCCGCCTCTGACCCCGCTTCCGCTCGCCGCCAAGATCCAGGGCAGAGCGATTCTGCGGGCGGCTCCGGCCCTAGCGCTCCAGGGGCGCCCACTCCCGTTAGTGATTGCCACAAAGGGCCTGGGAACGTTAAATTCCAGCGGAAAATGACGGATTTGGAGCCGTGTCAGAGCTCCCCAATCCACGTACGGACATGCAGTTATAGCACTGAGCTGACCCGCGCGGATTCAGCTTTTCCCTAAGCATCCCATCCTTCGCTTCCCGGAGGGGCGGAGGCAGCTCCTCATCCTGAGCCCTTCTACCCACCCAGGCTGTCGGGAAAGCATTACTGCTGGGTGCTTTACCCTGCTGGAGCCTTTCTCCAACCACCACCTCTCAGCTCCTCTTTGCCTCCTCACCCCTATGTCTTCACCTTACAGTGCACCGGAGATACACGACATCTCTTGCTGCATTCCCCAGACAGAAGGTCGAGAGGAAAACCCTGTCCTTGTCCAACAATTAAATTTTTCTTAGGCAGCTGAAGAGTGTGGTTGGTGGCCACATTGCTAGCCCTGCTTTGGCTATATCATTTGTCTAACATGGCAGGAGGGAAAGGTCATCAGCAACCATCCAGAATATCTCTGGGAGATGAGCCACCACTCCACCATTTCTGTAACCAATAACCAACATGTGTCCCCTTTGGATCAGCTCTCTCAGCACTGCCGTTGGCCATCCCAGTTCCCCATATTCCACCCTAGCCAGGGGAGGGTCTCCAAGCTTAACCTGCTACATCAACCTCTTAGGAACACTGGTCTCATCTGCTCTCTTGGGAACTCTTTCACCTAATCTTCAAATCAGTTAATGAAGAGAAGGGCTTGAAATCAATAACACAATCCCACAAGGACCTGCACCAGGATGATGACCTGGATAAAGAAGCTAGAATGATGTAAAAATTGGATGCTGCTTGGTGACTGTCACAGTTTTGTATGAGAAAAAAAAAAAAAAAAACAAACACTATTTTTAAAGTAATAAACTAACACAAAATTTAAATTTTATTTCTTTACATTATCAGTAAAAAAGTTATGAAAGAATATTCTAAAGAGTTTGTTTTAATTCTTACTACTTTTTTCTCTTAATTACTGTTAATAAAATTTTCTTTATACCCTTTTAAAATTTTAAGCCTACTTTAGCCTTCTCCTAATCCTATCTTCCTATGTCACAAGAACACGTTAATTTAAAAAATCTCAACATTAAAGAAATCTTAAAAAACCAAAACCACTACAGTGAATCACCTGAAAAATAATCTTACTATAGAATCAGAATTAGGGAGCACACCAGGCAGTCCCCCATGAGGGAGAAAACTCCAGGGAGGAAATCTGTGGGGATGTCTCAGGGCCACGCACCTCCAGCCAAAACTGTGGGCCCCAACAATGTCTTTGGGGGGTAACACTATGGGATCCAGAGGCAACTCAGACCCTCGGGGAAATGCACAGGCCATCAGAAACACCATCTCCAGCTGCAGCATCCACAGCTGGAGGAAGATGCTGGAGCTGAGAGGAGGTCCATCCTCTCCTCTACAGGACATTCCAGGATTTGCTACATACAACACAAGGGTGACATCTTCATGGGAGAATTCAAACAAAAAATGTGGTTTTTGAGAAGACTTTCAGCCAGCAGGTAAGGAACATGGCACAGAAGCTGGAATCCTGCACACTCCATGTTGAAGGGAAATATAATGGGATGTAATTAGCCATTGTAACAACAAAGAGGTAGTAATGGATTTGCCACTCTTAATTAATCTGGGGAAGCTCTGTGACCCCTGTATGTAGGAAGTGAGGCCAGCTGATGGCAGTGGTATAAATATATCAGGCTGAAAAAGTGCTGCTAAGCCTGGACCAGAAATAAACTGGTTTCCCTGGTGAAAAAATGGTGATTTTGGGTACCAGCAGCCAGTGCAAACCTCAGCACAGCACTGCCAGGCATAACTCTCTGAGACACCTGAGCCAGCCTGTTGAGAATCTTCAACTCTCCTCTTACAGGAGAGCCTTCTGCAAAGCATGTGTGGGGCTGGGGAAAACAGGACTGGGGTGTCTGTGTCTCTTTTATCACCTGATAAAGGTGTGTGCTGCAGGTACAAAGTGATATGCCTCAGGCTGGAGAGAAGTGAGTGTTCTCAGCTGCTGTGCAATCCTAGGAATGAGGACATAGGAATCCTGACAGCCAGAGCCTGCTGCCACGATTTCAAAGAGCCATGAGAGAAAAGAGCACAGCCAAGCCTGTGGAAGCACCGTCATGTGCCAGAACAGACTCTGTCCCAGACTCATCAGGTGCTTTACCTTTAAACGGCGGGATGAAAAGCTCCTGCTGGAAGCCTGCCCTGTGCAGGGTGCTGGCTTGTCCCCTGCCAGGAGGGTGAGCTCTCAGCTCTGTTCTGGGAGAAGAAGGACAGCCTCAGCTGCACACTCCTCAATACACAGGACAAGCAGCCCCAGTTTTATTACTATAGCATCACCATTCTGGTTTTCCCATATGACAAGCCTGCTCCAACACCTTTGTAAGTACCCAGGTGAACCCCTCCTCCAACACGTGGCACATAGCACCTCAATGGCCTGGTGCTACCACATGCTAGGGGAAGGCTGAAGGACACCTGCTTACATCAGAACTGTCCTCAGAGCACAGCACTCATGGTGGTGCAATCTGTGCTATACCAATTCCTCACGACTCAGAAAGGCTGTACACACAAAGGTTCTGGAGATTCACAAGATGCCAAGAACCTTTCTGCCAGCCAGACAGTTGTAGTTACCTGCCGAGGGAAAGAGCTGCTGCATCACAGCTCTGTCGAGCTCCTTTCACCCCTTCTTTTTCTCAATTCCATGCGGTAAATGTTCCTGACTGAACCAGCCAGGGATAATACATGTTGCTGAAGATGTTACAGCCCTTCTCACCTAGAAAGGAATCCATTCCCACTAATGTTAATTGATGTGCACTGCACATGTTTAAACAATTCTTTATTTACATTTCAAAATGTAAAAAAACAAAAAGAAAAGGAAAAAAAAAGAAAAAAAAAAAAAGATGCCCATTATTAAATAATTTCAGGAGAACCTCAAGAGGATGGATCTGGCCTGTGCAGAAGTCTGGGGCAGTAGGTGAGCTGGCTGGAATTAGAATAGCACAGAGCCAGCACAGGTCTAATCACCAGTAAAGGAACACTGAAAGGAAGAAGAAACAGGTAAGTCTAAATGCTGGACAGCCATTCCCAATAGATCCTACAACAGCCAGGCTGTGCAGTGACGCTGGGGGCCACACAGTGATTTTAAGTGCATGCCAGCTGCTACACACACCAGCTTTCATCATCCAGAGAACTCAGGAGTTCTCCTAAGTCTGCCTGCTAGGCAACCCATCTACTTCTGAAGTTAAAAGCAACAGTGCCTGTTTCTCCCAGCTGATTTTCAAGGATCTTGACAAGTAGCTGATGTGGCTGTGTGACATCAGGCAATGCAAAAGCTGTTTTCATCTCCAGTCAGATGAGAGACATGAGAGCACAGCAAGGCTGCAAGTAAGTAAGGTGGCACCAGCCTTGCACCTATGAATGAAAAGCTTCCAGGCACAAGCTGGGCATTGGCCAGAGATCGAGTACTCCAAACCAAAATGATAAGAAAGTCTGGGACTGAGTAGAGCCCTAAAGGGAACCCGACCCCTCAGCACAGCTCTGCAAGAAAAGGAACAGCCTTGCTAGCAGGCTTGTTTCAAAAGCCTGTAAATGCCACCAGAAGTACCAGGGTAGTGGAAGAATGATTACATTCCCTGTTGTCACTTCAACAATTAGCAAGAGCTCCAAAGAGTTTGAAGTGCTGCAGGTCTCTAAGACTTTATTACAAAAGAAGGAACATTGTGGGCAATTCCAGTTGCCTTTAGATATCATTTAATGGAAGGTCAAAAACTGTGAGTATGTGCTTTTGTCCAAACTGCCTCCTGAAATGTGGAAAAAATCAGCAACCAAAAGGCTAATACAGCAGATTTTTGACAAGCTGAAGCCCAACAAACTGAAATCCAGACAGATTTGTTTAAATACCTGTAGTTTTTACAGTAAATTGAGCAGACAAATGGAAACAGAATACTTACTGTATGTTAGCCTGAGACTATTGGTTTAACCAAAATGAAGCCTGAATAACAGTAAATAGTGGAAACATCTCTCTTCAGATAAAGACAGTGGTACTCTTTTCAAGTCATGCTAAGACTATGCAAAATGGTATTCCTTGGTCCTTCAGTAATGTTGATCCTACAGCTACATTGAGCAAGGAGGCTCAAGTCCTCCCTTTCTCTTCTCCTTTTCTTGATCCCTGCCTGTCCCACCCATGGATAATCTGCTTTTTGTAGCTGTTGGAAAGTTCTCCAATATGCAGGTCAAAGTGAGGCTTCCCACCAGCTAGACTGCCTGGGTAATGCCAGAGGGATTACTGCTGTAATTCCCTTTCATCCACTTTCTACAATCGAGGCTTCAAGGCAGCCTAACCCAATCCAAGAAAAAGCTCCCACAAACCCATCTTCTCCTCAACTACAGCTGCAAAATCTTATCCCTGCTGTGCTGCCTCTGGTGTTTGTGCAGCTTGGAGGGAAGCCAGTTCTGGGACTTCAGCTGACAAAAACAAATGCTGTTAGAGAAGCACTTTCTGGTCTTTCAATGAGCTGACACAGCTCTCTGCAGGTTCAAAGAAATGTGAAAATAAATCAAGAGAAAAGTAAGACGCAGAGCAGCCCAGAGTTCATGACACTGTGCCTGTGAAGATTGAGACTTACCACATTGCTTCTTCATCCCTTCACATTTCCCCACACTGAGAGATCACAACTGGCAGCTTGGGTTTGTTATTGGGACCTGTAGGCACGTTCTGGGGACAAACAAATACAGAACATTAAAACTTATAAAAGCACAGCAAACTCAGGCAGTGACAGGTACTGGAAGATTGGCTAAGAGAGATCTCTGTAACAAGAGGAACAGGGAATTCCAGACACAGCTCTGAGGAGCAGAAAAGCACCATTACACATTTGGCAACAGGCTCAGCCATAAGCTGGTGAATTCCCTCTGTAAGCAAAGGTTTGGAACACAGACCAGACGCTGGTCCTTTGAATTGAGGGAAGGAATAGAGTAAGAACTGTATTGCTCCTCATGGACATGCTTGAGGCTGCTCTGGCTTTGATACTAAAAGCAGCTGCCACAAGCAAAACAAACCTGTGCTCACACAGAAAGGAAAGAGACCGTGGCAAAGAAACCCTCATTCTGAACCTTCTGATGTGCTAGACTCAGCTGTTCTCTGAATCCCTAATTTTCTTTACTTTGGTCTCACTGTACCGATACCCAAAGCAGGCTCACCACAATGCTCCAGCAGATTATACCACGGTACTACTCCTTCCGTGTAACCTTGTCTCAAAGCCCAACAGTTCTGTGTTTTGCCCCATTTTCTAGATTAGAGACTTTATGCACATTATCCCACATGTGTCATGGAGTCAATGCTGGCCGTCTCAGAGAACTTGCTGCTCTTTGTTAAATCTACTCATTATCCTGCCATGACACCCAGGCCTGATGTTGGCAGCAATCATCACCTGGACTGTATTTATCTTCAGCTCCTGGAAGCCTATCAGGAGATTAGATTAATTTTTTCTTTTTAAACATGATCGTAGATCAGCAGAACTGATGATTTTGCATCCACTGAATAATCCCAGTCAATGGCAAAGAAGTGAGATGCATTATGCTCTTGTCTGAGCTGCTGATGGAACAACTTTTTAATTCAGCCTCTGAACAAATGCAAAGCAAATAAAGCCAAGAGCACAATCCCCGCTCAAAGACTATCACAGTCACAAGATCCTAGCATTTTCAAAGCCAACTCATATGACAGCCTGTGCTTCAACAGATTTCCTGCTACATTATGATGATGACAACCAATAATGCCAGTTATCAACACTGGTATTCACTGGTATCCTGTAAACAGACAGCAGGACAACTCTACTTAATCATTTACATAACTTTCCAATGCAGACATTCACAAGGAAGTAGCCATATTCAAACTTACTTCAATTTTTCTCATGACCAACAGTCCATCGACAATTTTACCTAGAATGAGAAAATTTATCCACTTCAATATGGCTGATTTTTACCTTTGTTCCCCACCACTCATCACAGGTACACACATTTCTGTCCTTCCTGAAAAGCCCTGGGCAGTGTGTAGCTACTGGGCACTTCAGGATTTGTTACTGATCTCTAAACTCATAAAGGAAACAATCCCTCTTCAAACATTCTCCACATTCAGCACAGATTAAGTGCCTCTTCCCATCACAGGGGTAGTGTGTCTAGAAATTTGGGGGTTGAGACCACCAGCTTAAGACTGGTCTGGAAGTCCTAGTTTAACCAGCAGTAAATGCAAGTTAGCAGTTATGGTTTCACAGAATTACTGTCCAAAACTCTGGTGAAAGCTCAGCCCTCTCTGATAGTGGAGAAGAAAGGAATCCTTCCGCTCATCTGTGCCCTCTGCACACGCACAATGATTTGTGCACAAATACAGTACACTGAACACTGATCTGGATAAAAGCTAACCTGTGAAAAAGTGATTCATTTCAACAGTGATCCAACAGGTTGCACAGATCCCTCAGGTAGCACAAGAGAGGAGGGAAGAATGAGCAGTTGATACCCAGAGGTGGTTGGGCACTGAACAGGCACCCCAGGGAATGATTACAGTCCCAAGGCTGCCAGAGCTCCAGGAGAATTTTGACAGAGTTCTTAGGCACAGAGTGGGATTTTTGGGGTGACCTATGCAGGGTCAGGAGTTTGTCTTGATGATCCCTCTGGGGTCATTCCTCCCAGTTCAAAAGATTCTGATTCTCAGTATTTATTTTAACAGCTTCCCTGCAGGGATGTCTGTGTGCTGCCACTCCAGGACTTTTACTGCAGGTACTCACCGAACACAACATGTTTCCCATCCAACCAGTCACACTTGGAGCACGTGATGAAGAATTGGCAGCCGTTGGTACTCGGACCACTGTTTGCCTGGGGGTTGAGAATAGTAAAATACAAGTATACTATTTCAGACTGAACAAAACTGAAGGCAGACACATAAAGAAGAGGTGTTATTTAAGTATGTATTATTTTTAGCTTATTGCTAGACAAACCAAAGGAAACAATACATATCTGCAGGAGACGCTGTGCTGGGATGTAGCATGTCACCACACCTGGTCAGACCAGAACGCACAAGCGCCATGCCACTAACTATTTATTATACTTCTACAAAGGCATGTTCAATACAAAACCATGCCGAAGTCCGGGCTTTAGAGCAGACTCCTGAAAAAAGGCTGAACGTTTTGGTGACGAGTATTTATTGGCTGCAGCATTACCCTGAGGAAAACTGAACACCAGAAACCAGGGCAAGAAAAGAACCCAGCTGATTTCTGGTTTTTGTGAGGTTTCCTCAGAATACAAATAGAAAACTTTCAATGATCATGATGAGAAAAGTAACAACTGTATTGGCACAGGACTCACAGGAACCTTGGGATGCAGATGCGAAATTTTATTCACACCCAAGTACAAAACCCCAGAGCATTTGCACTCTGTTAAGAAAACATCTCTGGAACACTGAATGCCACTTGCCATATTGACAACCAGGAGCTACTAAAGCAAGTTTCTGTCCTGATGAGTGACCTGGTCAAGTTTTCCAGTTGCAGGACTGCAAAGGACAGGGTCATTTTGGCGTTCTAGTTAATGCTAGCCAGTTTCAAAAGAATCCAGCTGGGATCCATGGTTCCTGGGATCCCAGGTTTGACCCAGTATAATGACTTCAGAGCCATGCCACTTTAATACAAAACTGGCAATACTGGAGTGAATCCCTTCTCTCACACCACAGTACACTAGCTGCTTAGCTGTGCCATGACATCTTTTTGGGCCATGTTTTCAACATGGATGAATAACTAACCCAAATTACTAAATGTCCTAAGCAAGTGGTTCTAAGGGCAGAGCAGCTGAAAGAGCTGAGGAAGAAGCAGTTGTGAATAGGAACACTGAACCACTGGCTCCATTTGCTTTCTATTCCAAAAGTCTGGGTATTTTTCCTACCAGACAATGTGCAATGGTTGCAATTTCTCCTACTATGTTGAATAGGAAGGTCTGTTTTAAAAGATACCATGGTAACACTGCTGTGGCTTTGGAACTCCCAAATGTCTCTGTTTCATCCTTACCAAGGTCAGTGTTTGATAGCAGTATCAGGAAAGAAGAAAACACCACCAACTCACCACTGTATGAAAACTGCAAGAATTAAGCTCTTCTGAAAGCAATCAAGCTGAGCCTGTCCCAGCGCTCCAACAGGCAGCAAAGAAAGGATGCTGCAGGAACAGGACTATTGTGTTACTCAACATATTGACCTAAAAGTAGCTGCTTGACTAGTAGCTACAAAGCAGACCTTGTACCCAATGGCAGAGATTCTGTTGCCAAGCAAATACTATATACACTTAGGAAAAGGGCACAGAGAAAGTTCCAAAAGATTTTAGTCTGTAAGGTCATTATTTTATACTCACCATAGAAAGCAGGCCAGGAGCAGAATGTTTCAGCTTGAAGTTTTCATCTGCAAAAGGACCTCTGTATATACTGGCTACTCCAGTGCCGTCTCCCTGCACGACAGAGGTACCCGGTCAGCTACAGCATTTGTTCCGTAGCAACTGCTACAGAACAATTCAAATTAAAAATTAATTTAAAATCTCTAAGCAAGAGGAAAGGGCAAAATGGACTTTGTATTGCCATTTACATACACCAGCAGTGAACACATTCAGGGTTTCATTTCAGAACAAGAACAGCAACCAGTTTCTAACTACACAGTTCATTGTTCATCATTCATATATTGGCAGAAGCCCATGCAGATGGTAAGTGTAAACCTCCCAGAGTGAAGTGGAGGCTACAGATTGCTTGGTACAGACCCATCAGGACTTGGAAGGGAAAAAGCAGGAGACACAGAAGTATGGGATGGTGTGACAAAGAAAGCAGAAGTGGTTGCATGGCAAAAGTTGGCTTACCGTGGTTTTATATATTTCACCTTATTTTCTGTGACTTTATTGGAAATAGGAAAGCAATCTTTCTGTTCTACAAGGACAGTTTCTAAAATAAAGATTTTCTGTTTATGTTGTACTTTCTACTAAGTCCTTTTGCTCTACTTGCCCAGCCCTTGTTTGCTTCCCTCCTGCTCTCTGTAGTTTACTTAAACTTTTGGCTCTGAGAAAGAAACCTGCACCCTGTTTCAGGGGTCAGTGTGACTGTGCTTGCTTCCCAGGTGGCTTTGTAATAAATATAACATATAAATTCCAAATACTGGAGCAATGTGTAAAGCTTGTTGAGATGTAGTGGAAGTAATACAGTGCACTGGGACATCTGAGCAGTGTCACGATTAGCAACTACCACAGAGTCTGGTGTTGCTGAAACACCTGCTGTGTGGTCATTTCTCTAAGAGACTTTCATACCACCAAGTTTTATATTAAAAAAGTTATTACTTCCCTCATATTTTGAAACACTTCCAAAAATAAAATCATTTTACTGGATCCTAGAACAGTGAAGAGATCCTGTGGCCCATCAGCCTTACTCATAGGTTCTGCTTATCCCCATGTCAGAGCACAACCACCATTGTGGGTGCAAAGACTTTTCTATTTCGAGAAAATTTAGTAACAAAAGGCCAGTTTTGATTTAAATGACCTCTTACATTACGCACTGGGTTTTGTACTTAGGGTTTATCAACAATGTGAATTGAAATTCACACTATTTTGTCTGGAGGAGGTCCACAGAAGGGGGAAGGAAAACAGGGCAAACAAAATTTTTCAAGTTTTGAAAGCTTCCAGGGTTTTGGCAGGTTATTGCAGAGAGAAAATATTTTGGGAAGAATGTGTGTTCACTCAAGGCTCCAGATTTGTTTTCAAGTGGTTTATAGTCCGTTGCAGTAGGATGGCAGCAATGCTATGAGGACACCTCCAGTTACTACTGGATACATCAAAAAAAAAAGAGAGCCCACAAATCAGCACAGACCCTTGGAAACAGTAGCATGTTATACCACAGAGGAAAAGGACAAAAAGAGTACAGGAGTACATACATTTACGAAGTCACCTCCTTGGATCATGAAATCCTTTATTACCCTAAAGAAGTAAAACAACACTTAGTTAACAGTCTGTGAATGCTGCAGCCTAAAATCTACAACAAATACTAATTAATGGTTGATAGGAGGTTATTTAGGACTCATTGCTTTGGAACAGGGATAGTGATTACGTCACACGTGGCACACGAGAAGCAGGGGATTCCTCCCAGTGGGGAGGACAGCACCCCCAGGTCCCCCAAAGCCACAGAATTACATTAGCCATGATCCGCAAGTGCCTCCAACACCACTAATAGCTCATGGCAGGTCACAAAACCCCGTATGTCTCAGGCTGCCATTCAGTGTCAAAACAAGAGTAGATGATTTACCTGTGGAAAGTGCTTCCTTTATAACCTATAGGGACACCATCTTTCCTGCAGGGAAGTGAAAAGGAGAATTATTGCAACCTACTAGATATCCCAACACAAAATTGTCTCAGCAATTCAGAGTCCCAAAGGGCTGCTGTATACATTAGCAGCTGCCTTGAAATACAGCCAAGTACCACAGCCTCTCAGCTGCTGCTGTTGGAGGCAAAAAAAAGCCTCAAGTGGGCTCTGCACATGAAATGACTCTGTTCCCTGCAATACCCACAGCATCACCTTCACAGGATCCCACTGCAATGTGCAGCATGAGCAGGTGGGCTTAGCAGATAGGGCTTTTTAGAGCCACCTGAGCACAAAAAGTCATATCAGAAAGAGAAACCTGCCATGTCTGTGAGTTTCCAGCCCCTCACAATTTCCTCAGAGCAGATTTCTCTTCCATGTTGTACTAGTACAACATGAAAAAGTTCAAAAGAAACCCTCTCTACCTCACCCAGCCCTGTTTCTCCAGTGGGACACTTAAAGGACACTTAAAGCAGGACACTTTATCTACTTACCTGAATTCACCTGTACAAAACTGCCTGGCAAACAAAAAGAGAGCAGAGCGTTAGGTGCATATGAACTCTGAGGGCTGCACCAACAAGTGCACAGGATTTTCCTTATTGCATCAGAGATGTTCCCAGAGAAACAGAACAGGAAATGGTAACTCCTTCCCCCTGACATTTCAAAACATATTCTGTACTCTTTGTAGTGAGGAAGTCAGAGAGTTAACACCAAGGTTGTAAGAAACTGAATGTGGGGCAGGCACTGTGTTTGACAGAGACCAGGGTATGTCCATCCCTCCAGTGGAAGTGGGATTTCACATGGTGCATCCCTCAGTTGATGGCAGGAGAACTGGGTGGCCAGGAGACCTCCACCACGGCACAAGGCACTGCCTTGCATGGAGCAAATCAGGAGGCTTCACAGAAGAAGCAGAGGAGGACCCATTCCAGCCAGACAGGGTCCCCTGAAAGAGCAGGATGCCACACAGCATCTCTGAGAACAGAGAGACAGAAAGTAGGTGAAGCAGTTTGGGGTGGGTGTCAGCTAATCAGTTTGCCACAAAAAGCCATTTTGCACCAGAAAGACTTTGCAGTTCCAGTCCAGGCTGAGCTGCAGGAACGGTAGCTGCTTGTTACCTGAAGTTCTCTGCTGTTTTGGGTACAACATCTGCGAACAGCTCAATCTTCATGCGGCCGACCTCCTGAGGAGACGAGGGCCAGGTGAGTCTTCCAGGTCCCCTCACACACAGATGCCCGCCGCCCGACCCCAGGCACTCCCACAAATCTGGTCACCTCATTCACCCCCATTCATCCCGACCCCTGCAGGCTCCTCCTGACGCAGTCCTTCTCCTCTCCCCTGTGAGCCCTGCCCGACGGGCCCGGTGACCGGACGGGCCCGCCATCCGGCTCCTGGTACCGCCCCTCCCAGCGCTTCCAGTGGCGGCCCGGCAAGCCCCACGTTGAACCCCACCCGTGCTCTCTCATCCCCACAACACTCCGACATCCCCAGTTATCCCCACAGTCCCTCCCCCGGCCGCTCCCCGTCCTGGAGCACCCCCACCTGCCCGCCGATGGTTACATCGAAGAAAACCACGGGGTTGTTGGGATTCGCTGCCAGCGCCGACATTGCGACTGCCACTGCAGGAAGCGGAAATGGCGGCGGAAGTGGAAATGGCGACGAAAGGCGAGACGGGCGGGAGATGGGCTGAGGTTGTCCGAGACGTCTGGGATGTGTGTTGTGTGTCCAGACCGCGTCTGTGGTATCCGGGTGGCGTCCGGAGCTCCATCCTGCTGGGGCAGCTCGGACTGCCCGGAGCAGACCGCTGCTCGGTTGGGAAGGCTTGCCCGTTCATCTCCCTGCCCCCTGGGCACACGCCGGCTGAACATGAGCTCAGTTGTGCCCAGATGGGCAAGGAGGCCAATAGCACATGGGATGTATCAGCCACAGCGTGGCCAGTGGAACCAGGGCGGTCACCCCCCAGCTGTGGTGAGGCACCTCTAGTCCTGGGGTCAGTTCTTGGTGCTTCTCTACAAAAAAGACATTGCGGGGCAGGAGTATGTCTGGAAAAGAGAATGGAACTGTGGAAGGGTCTGGAGCACAAGGAGCAGCTGAGGGAGGTGGGAGGACTCAGCCTGGAGAAAAGGAGGGTTGAGAGGACTTTCTTGCTTTCCACAACCCTCTATCAGGAGGATGCAGTCATGTGAAGGTCGGGCTCTGCTCCCAGGGAACAAAGGACAGGACAAGAGGCACTGGCCTCAAGTTGTTGCAGGGGAGGTTCAGGTTGGACATCAGTAAGAATCTCTGTGGAAAGGCTTATCCAGCCCTGGCAAGACTGTGCAGAGTAGTGGTAGAGTCCCCATCCCTGAAAGGGTTTAAAAGCTGTGTAGATGTGGCACCTGGGGACGTAGTTTAGTGGTGGCCTTGGCAGTGGTGGGTGAGCAATTGGTTTTAATCCTCAGGGTCTTTTCCACTAATTCCACGATGGCAACAGTTAGATCTGTGCTTGTTTTCAAGGTTTGATCAGCTGAACACTGCCTTTGAGAGGTTTACAGGACATCCTTGAATGTCCTGACTTTGTCAATGTGCTTGAGCAGAAGTCATGCTTTCTGTGGCAGAAAGATGAGCAAGGTATGTAAACAAGTGCACTGCAACTTTTCTGCTTGGAAAGAGACCTTTCCAGGATGAGAATTCTGATTTGGAAATTGTTAGGTATGCATTTGTGGAAACCCAGGGCACTGGGAATATTTCCCTGTCTGCTCTGAGTTGCCCTGACCCCCAGGAGAACACTGACTAAACTGGGCTTGTGTAAATTGCCAGATGCATGCTCTCTGAGAAGGGCTAGCTGTGAAAAGGGGCAAAATGGATGTCTGGGAGCATAAAGATGAGTCACTGCCTGAAAGGGACAGACATGACTAGAAAACAGTGATCTATTTTCCAAAGCCTTGTGCTGCTTCAGTCTTCTGCATGTCATGTCAAGTGTGCCAGAAAATGACAGGCTTGAAGCTGCAAGGAGACTGCAAGAAATCAAGGAGGTGGAGAAAGCCCACACACACTGAGGAGGGGGAGATCTTGAATAGAAGCCAGCTAGACATTCCATCTCCCAGGAAGTTCAGGGTGCCCTCACCGCCAGCTGGGACATGGCCCTGGGAACCTGCTCGGCTGTTCCCACAGGGAGAGAAAGAGCCTCCTGATGGCAGAAGCTCAGGGGAGGATGGTGCAAGAATGCAGAAAGGGAACTTCTTCATTCATCCTCAAGAGAGGAGGAGTAAAAAGTAGCAACAGTTGCAACATTGCAACAGTAGCCTCACTCTTTGCCAATGATTTCAAGTGCATATAGCTTCTGTACAGACCAGTTCAGTACTGGTCACCAAGCTTCCCAGCATAACCTGCCAGTGACCATCAAAGGCTGGCAAAGGCTATCAAGATATCTCACAAGAATGTTGACCATTAAACCTGACATTTATGATTGAAACAATAAAACCATCAAACCAAACCTGGTCCCATATGGTTGCTTCTGATTGTTCTATAGAGAGTTTGACCATGCAAGAAACAACAGGATTTTTAAAAATTTGTTTAACTCAAGACTTCCTTTGTGAACACTCCCTTGTTATGTAGAAAGGTGGGAGCTTTGTACAATTGTATTGAAAGAGCGTGCAGAGATCTCAGGGAAAAGGAATTCTCGGGAACAGTGTCTCCAGGGCTCCTGAATCTGAGGCTCAGCTCCCCTCTGAGTGGCTCACGTTCTCCCAAGTGCTACACCCAGAGAGAGGTATCGCTGCAAGAGACAGGGAAACCCAGCGACTGCAAGCATGGACACTGATAGTTCCCATCAACAGGGCTGTTTGATTAAGTAGGTGAGTTTCCACTCTTTTTACTCCTTCTTTTGGTGAAGAAATTGGTTTCCTGGAAGACTTGGGCAGCGGAGTTTGATTAAAAAACACAACACTTCACCTTGATTGATTCTGCAGTGTCTCATACAAGCTGCAGTTCTTATACCTTCTGTCCTATTTCTCAGCCATCCCAGAAATCAGTTTCTGAGGCAAAACCAAGACAAACATTCAAGCATTTCTTATCACAGAAAGTATAAAGCACCCATTCCCAAGCCTACTGTGAAGCTCACTCCAAAATGAGGAATGATCTCCACTGCCAGTGCTTGGGACTGCTGTGCCCTCTAGCAATTAAGTCCAATGAGAAAGGTGTTGGGAGTAGGGGATGTGAGCAGGAGCAGAGTCCAGATGAGCATCCAAGTGCACATTCTGTGTAAAAGTCACTTCTTCAGCAGCCCTGGAGAAAGGGAAAGATACTTTACTATAGAATTACCAACATAAATGATTTCATTATTTAGCCACATTGTATCTGCATAAACCAGTTCTTTGTGCCTTGTCCTCTTACCTTCTCAGGCACACATGACATCAAAAAACACCCTTGCAAATCATGTAAAAATTGCACTACAAGCCAGGTTACTCTTCCCCATCATCTGTTCAACCAACAGTGTCTCTCTCCAGGGCCTGCACACTATGAGTGGCCTCATTTTCCACTTTCCATCTTTTTCATGTCCTCTGGCTTCTCCTGTCTCCCTGGGCTCTCCTCTCTGCTGGGCACTCTTCTCAGTCAGTCCCTGACCCCCCAATGCTTTTCACTGTAATTGTGCTGGCAGATGTTACTTAAAAGCACTATCCCAGCTTGGTGATCTGCACATTTTCCTCTTCTCTTGCTGCTGTTTGATGCATGTTTTGGATCTTATGAGCCCTTGTGCCCTGGCTCCCTCCTGCTGTTAAACCCGGTTCATGCAAGCGAAATGACAGTCAGTGTCTCCTCCATGGTGCCTTACCTGTGTCTCTCTGATCTGGACAGCTGGTGGGAACCATCACAGCACCTCCTGGTTTGTCTCTGGGTGTGGAATGTGGTTTCTCAAGGAGAAGAGGGAAACTTACAGTAATGCCTTGGCAATATCCTGTTGGTAGAGCTGATTGGAAGGCAGCTCTCCAGGCTGCTGGTGAGGCAAGTTGGCATCAAGTCCCAAGGCTGGTTCAGGGATGCTCTTGAGTATAAGTGACACATTGTCAGCTCCACAGCTTCTATGGGTAAGCCATGTCAGTGCTTCACCACCCTTGCAGGAAAGAATTTCTTCCCAGTGTCCCATCTAACCGTGCCAGATAACAGTATGATGCCATTCTCCCTTTTCCTGTCACACCACCTTGTCCCAAGTCCCTCCCCAGCTCTTCTGGAGCCCCTTTAGGCACTGGCAGGGGCCCTAAGGTCCCCCTAGAGACTTCTCTTCTCTGGGCTGAACATCCCTGGCTCTTAGTCTGTCCCCAGAGCAGAGCTGCTCCAGCCCTCAGAGCAGTTCCATGGCCTCTGGACAGCAGGTTCACATCCTTCCTGTGCTGGAGAACCCAGAGCTGGAGGCAGCACTGCAGGTGGGGTTCTGTCTGAGCAACGAAGAGGGACAGAATCCCCTCTCACCTGCTGCCCATGCTGTGGGGATCAGCCCAGGACACAGTTTCTGGGCTGCCAGTGCACATGGCCAGCTCATGTCCAGCCTCTCACCAGCATCCCACATCTTTTTTGGCAGGGCTGCTTTCAATCTCTTTATTTCACAGCCTGTATTGGTACCGGATGTTACCCTGACCTATGTGCAGCACCTGCACTTGGTCTTGTTGAATCTCATAAAGTTCCTATTGGCCCACTGATTGAGCTTGTCCAAGTCCTTCTGGGTGGCCCTGTTCTCTGGGCGTGTCACCCACACTGCTCAGCTCAGTGTCATCTGCTAACGTGCTGAGGGTGCACTTGATCCCACTGTCTGTTTCATTGATGAGGATATTGAATGGCACAGGTGCCAGTGCAGACCCCTGAGTGACACCCGTTGTCACAGATGTCCATCAGTACTCAGCCATCCTCCCATCCATCCATCCATCCATCCATCCATCCATCCATC